AAAAAACACCTTCCTAGAAATAAAAAAAAAAAAAAATCAATGCCACAAAACTGAAATTCTTCTATTTTCTCACAGATGAGTCCCTCCCAGGCCACCCCCACTTAGAGTGTCCTTTTGCTTGTAGCCCACAAATAGTTCTAACAGGCTTGGGCATATGGTTTCCCAGTGCACCATATTAATGCAGCCTATCAGAAGAGGAAGAATTGTTGGCGTAAGTATTGTGGGAACAGCAAAAAGGTCATGGGCTGAAAGTCAAGAAAAAGAATACCTACATCAAAAAGGGCAAGAGAACACAATTGCAACTGGTCAGGGTATTTTTTCGCTCATCATTTTGGAGAAAGACTTTCAGAAACAGTAAGAAATCCATGCATTTGTCTGTTTTAACATGAACAGCCCCAACTGCCCATGGTAAATTAGCAGTAACTCATTATTAGTGGGCCAGAACAATTAATGCCACAGGGAAGATGTGTCCTGCTGATCAGTGTGGCCAGTCTTGAAAGGTGAGACAAAGTAATGACATCAGTTGTATAAAACCATGAGACCGTTAGCAATTTCCTCAATGACTTCATTAGTAGAGATTATCCCTAATTTTATAGAAGAAAATATGTCCTGAAGACTTTTAGGTACTCCAATATATATAACTTAATAATATGAGGCAACAATTAAAAGATAATATAATATAATCTATATTTTCTTTTCTCTCCCTCTTACTTTCCCTTACCACCTTGCTGTACACCCCCGCTAACTCTCCTAAAATCCATTTTGTAAGTTCCCTCACAGAGAATCCTTCTTGCCTTTCATGTAAAATTTACCAATAAATAAAAATATAAGATATATTCATAAATGAATGTATTTGGATGCATTTGGCTTTTAGAACTAAATTCTATGCTTTCATGTATACATTTTGTGTATTATATCCCACTTCCTTCTCGTATTCTCTCTCTTCTTGATTGGAAGGTCTATGTTTCTTCATGATAGTTCTTCACTCCTACTAATTCATCCCCAAAGATGATCTTAGAATCTAATTTTTTAGCATTTGTTAAACATTTACTGTGTGCCATCTGATAGGGTTGGCGAGGGGGATAAATAACTTTTCATTTCTTCAGAGATATGTCACTTTTATTTTACCTTAAGAAGTTTCTATTATTATCTCCAATTTTATTTACCTTAAGAAGTTTCTATTATTATCTCCATTTTATAGTTGAAGAAACTGAGGCTCAGGCAGACTAAACAAATTGTCAATGTTCCTTCAACCTATGTTGAAGCTGAGGTCAGGATGCATGCAAGTATAAGTTCTAGCTCTTAAAAATTACTGCGTTGTCTTTTATGGAGATTTTTCTCCTTAAATTTAATTCAGACAATGTGGAGCACCTATCTAAAAATATATCTGCATGTCCAAACTACATAAACATTACTTAAGTATCCAAAGAGATCCAGCTATAACAATGTATCTGGGTACATATTCAGTATTTCCTTTGTTGATTTAATATGGATGAGCAACTCATCAGTTCCCTCCTATCATTAGTTACAAATTTGCTTTTCCATTGATCGGAGTTTAGACTAAAAGTAAAATGAATCCATGTGGTATACTAAGGTAGAAGGATAAAACACATATAAATTTAATAGCTGGGTTAGAGTTCTTCTTAGAGAGTGAGTGGCTTTGGTGGTTATTCAGGTAAATAAGAGTTAAGAGACAGGCAATAGGCCCTGCAAAAGAGAGAAGGCCATTTGACTTAGCCTAGATGAGAAAGTAGTCCACCATACTGAGAGAGACCCAGTGCGCTGTGGGATGGGAGAGTCAAGGCAATATACACTATGATTAGTGTTTGTAAGGAACAAAATACACTTACTATCTGCTGTGGGATATGTCCCTTGCTTTATCCTTCAGGTGGTCAGTGAAAGTCTTGCTTCTGTGAAAACCTCAAGTTCCTGGTTGCTTGGATGGCAAATGATGTTCTAATCCATTACACTGCTAATAACAGAAAATATCTGAATCATGATAATTTAAGAGAGTAGAGGTTTGTTTGGCACACGGTTTGGAGGCCTGAGGTTCATGGGCTACATCTGCTGAGTCCCAAGGCCATGCAGATATCACGTCATAAGAGAATAGGAGCACGTGTCTGTGTGTTCATGTGTATGTCCCTCTCTGTCTCCTTATAAACCCACCAAGAATTCACTATAGGGCTCCCTCCCCCAATCACCTAATCATTCACAGAGGCCCCACCTTTTGACACCATGAAGTTATTAAGTTTCTTTTAATATTTGTACAATATGAGCAAATTCTAACACATGAACTTTGGTGGGGGGTGGGGTGGGGTGGGGGCCTCTTTTAAGGGGACACCAGAATGGTGATAAAAGAGCAGCCACAGGAAACAGAAAAAAGACCTTCAGACCTTCAATGGAAGCAGAAAATAGAACAATGGTAATCCTGAAATTAGAATCCCTCAGACATCCTAGGGAGAGCTTAGGCTGTTTCTTGTTTTCTTTTGGTTTTTAGCAGAATGGGGTTTTGAATACATGTATCCCAATCTGAAAGGGGTTAAAACACCTAATTATACTGGAGAAACTCAACCATATAGCTTTATTTTTGTGAAGAAGAATGTTGTCTGCTAGAACTGAGGAATAGATAATGGCATAACAGTTTTTAAAAATAAGTCTGAGGGGGGCTGTGATGGTTAAGGGCACTGGACTCCCACATGGCCAACCCCAGTTCAAGTCTTGGACCTGGTGACATGGTTTCTCACTTTCCTGCTCTCTTTTTCTCTCTCAGTCTGACCATCTCTGGTCAAATTAAAATATATACATACATACATATATACATACATACAAATAAAATAATTTTAAGAAAAAAAAAGAAAAAAAATGAGGGACTAGATAGTGGTGCAGTGGTAAAATGTGATGGTCAGTGGCTGACCCATGTGGGAAGGTTCCAGGTTTGCATTCAGAGATCTCCCGAACTCCTGGGCTGGCTGAGACTGGGGGTGGATCACAGTATCAAGATCCTGTTGGGACAGGGCTGCCAGGTGGCATGGTGGTTAAGAGCACTGGACTCTCACATGGCCGACTGCAGTTCGAGTCTCAGACCTGGAGGCTTGCTTTCTCACTTTCCCTCTCTTTCTCTCTCACACACACACTCTCTGTCCCTCTCTGTTCAAATTAAAATATAAAAGTAAATAAATAAAGTTAAATAAAGTAATTCTTTTAAAAAAAAAAAAGGATCCTGCTGGGAATGCTATCTCTCTGCCTCTCTGCCTCTGTGTCTCTCTGTCTCTCTGTGTCTCATGGAAGAAATAAACTTCTAAGAAATAATAAAAATTTGAGTATATCAGCATGTGCAGTCAACTAATATGCTGACCTGAAAACAGCCTGCTGAAACTTTCTGCCCGTTAAACCTATTATTGCCCATAATGAAAGACTATATGCACTAAATCACAACATACAGACTTAAGTTTGATCATAGCTTCTAAAAGTTCATGATACAGGAATTTTTACTTATACTCAACACATTCTTCCTTCAGAAACCTGATTGGTTGATCTAGATGCTATGAATGATATAAATTGAGCTGGTAGTTGGAAGAAATCTAAGAACCAATCATTCCTGAGTTTCAGACAGAAACTTACACGGAACACATTCAAAGGTATGTGGATTTTATTCATATATTGGTATCCTTTTTATTGTGTTTCTCTATCTGAGTTTCATGCTTAAAAGTGGCAAATGAGTTCCATATTGCTAATATTGTATGCCATTAATAGATGCTTCTGCTGAGCCACAATTAAATTAGACTCTGACTACTGAAATTATTTTGTTTTCTAATGCAGCAAAGTATTTGTCTATATTACTTATAATTTTAGTTCCATAATCTCAAAGCTCTTTTCAGTGCAAAATTTCACAACAAATTATTTATTTTACTTATTCATCAATTAAGGTAAAAATAATATTTTCAGAGGCTATGATCTACTACTTCAAAAAACATTTTATTTAATTACATCAAATAGAACTGTCAATGGATTATTTTTTTCATTAACACAGTCATAAAAAAAAAGACAGATTCAGGAAGTAGAAAATATCAGTGTACTTTTCATAACCAGCATTATCATATGGGATATTCACTTCCTATATGAAATGTCAGGTCTTTCTTCTGACAGTTCTACAAGTTAGTCAATAACGTGCACTACAGAACAATGTGCATATCTTAAACTGGCTCACTTTGCTTCATGTCACAAGGGCCTTTTTGTGGAATAATTACAATGTAGCAACAAGTACAAGGAAGATGCCATGGAATGAAGATGGAACATTTTAGGTAGAAATCATTTAGCATTCACTGAAGAATCACAGATTACTAGCCCCATCATCTCCCACTGGTTTGAACACAATCTTTTCCTCCACATCCAGAGTACAGAGGTGTTACTACTATACAAGGTATTGCCTGACATTCTACAGATCATAACATCTGGAACTAAATTGCATTCCTTCATTAATCTAATTTGGCAAATTACTTAATGTCATTTCTCAAATAATTAGTCTTTGTTTTTAACAGCAGTAATGCTCAAGTGGACTGCATAAAAAACGTTTGTGGCTCCTTACTCTAAAAGTATAAAATATTGTGCACTTTGATGATCTCTCCAGCTTTTATAGTCAACTGTATTGTTTTAATCATTAATTACAAATATCATTTAGCTTCTATGACAGGCTATATAGGTACAGGAAGTGGCATGGACAATCGAGTAATGCTAGATTATTCAAGACCCTGTAACTTGTCCAGCTCTCAACCTAAATGAAAATCATCTCTATCACTAGTGTGACTCCAGAAACAATGAAATAAATAGGCTGAGAACTGGAAATGACATATGCATGAAGTCACCTCGCAAAGAATGGCTCCATCCTTTTTACTAGCAACGGATCAATGTGAATGATGTGTGTTTGTGGAACATTAATTATGTCTATGCTTGAAAAGAGATAAGAAAACTAGGTCTTGTCTTACATTTCAGAGCATCAAGAAATGGGGACCTGGATTTTGTTTGCCTGCCTCCTGGGAGCAGCTTTTGCTATGCCCGTGAGTAAAACATCCTTGCATACTTGCATCAGTGTCCAATTTCACAAGCTTGGAAATAAAAATCTACCCTATGGTTGGTAAACTTTAGGGCCTGAAACAGTACATGATCAGATGTCTTCAAATGTTCTTGTGTTGAAGAAACACTTGTAGAACTTGTTTATAAAAATAGCTTTTTGAAGGCCTCTGCCAAAGATTCCAATTCCATACAGCTGGTGTGGGACCCAGGACCCTGCATTTTAACAAGCACCCCAGGAGAGCCTGTGGGAAAAAGCTACTTTTAAATATCACTGTCTATCTCTATGTGGAGGAAGCTTTTAGAACAGACCCCTTCAGTGAAAGTACTTAAGTAGTCTTAGGCAAATACTCCAAAAATGCCAGTTTTCTCCAAATTCAATTTCTCATGAGTTGCCAAATCTCTTCCTGCCCTCCAGATACCACTGCTATTACCTTGAAGGGGTAAGATTTCTGTGTTGGGAACTCCCTTCTTGAATCATCATCTCTCACCCATTTGGATGTCTCTGCTAAGCACTGGGAAACCCACCTCTGTCCAATACCACATTCAAATGCATTCAAGAACAGAAAGTCTGGCCCACTCTCTCAAGACACAGGCACATAAGGGCAGAGAGCCTAGCTCATGTGCAAGCCAAGAAGGTCCTTCTGCTTTTTGGAGGCATAAAGAGCAGTTGATATGCCCAGAAATCTGCAAGTTTGTGCATCTGCCTCCTCCCTCCTCTCTGCCTTCCTGAAATCCTGTGCTGTGCTGATTCCCAGTCTCTGCACAGGCCCTTTCACTACACATTCAGTCCTTTTCCCATCTGGAATTCGATGTTCTCACTCTCCAAGGACCTATATCAAGACGGTTTAGGAAAGGCAGTTACCTGACTTAAAAATAATTTGTATTCAGATCAGTGGGAACAAATCCTCTTATAAAATATAAACATTTTAAAGAATAGATTTATGTCTGAGAGAGATTTTCTGCATGATTCTCTCCTCTCCCTCTGCTGAACTCTATGGCCAACTAGAATTCCACCATTCAGGCCTCAGTCACTTGGACAGGACAGACAGTCCCGGTTAATTATTAAGGTTACTTTTTATTTTTACCTTTAATTTTTTTCTGCAATAAAAAATGTTGACAGAATAATAAAAGGGACTGGCCTAAACTTCATAAATCAACTCTTTCGTTTTCCATGGGATTTATAATGTTTGCATTTTACTGCACCCATCTTGTCCTCACATTCATTAGTGATTTGCATCTAGCTGTTTCTGTTGTTGATGTGTTTTTTGCTTTGCATGCCAACTACGAGGAATCTTTTTGATATTTAAGCACTTAACTACCTCCTGATCTACAAGGGAACATTTTGAAACAATCCTCTTTTTACTGGTATTTCTTAATAATGTAAGAGAAACATACCTTTCTCCTAAACATAGAGTGAGTTTTCATCAACAGGTAAACTGGTAGGTAGGATAGGGCAGGGTTCATTGACAACATGGTGTGGAGAGAGGTGTTTAGAGGTCAAAGGAGAATAATGTGCCCCGGTTTCTGCTTCTAGCCCTCACACCATAAGACTATAACCTCTGGAAAAGTATTTAGCTGTTTTGGATCTCTTTGAAGTAAGAGAGCTCCTTTCTTACATAGCATGTATTTCAAAGTAGACCTGAATATACTATTCACTGTATAGATTTTTTTTAAAGTTGTTGGAAATAAATATCTTAATGTGAACAATTGCATATTAACTTAATCTCTTCCTCTCTTTTCTTCTCTCTCTCTCTCTCTCTCTCTCTCAATTTTCCTTCCCCTCTCCCTAAAAGCTACCACCTCATCCTGGGCACCCTGGTTATATCAACTTCAGCTATGAGGTAATTTTCTCCTTACTTTGACCGTTGTTTGTGTTAATTCCCTGAGCTCTGTAAAGAATAGTGTGTTGCTTCTTCTCTCATAATGTTTCTCAAATGATCCCACATTTTTAGTACCCACTACCAGCTGCCCAGCTTGAGTTCTGATAGATGGTCTCAAGCCTGCATTATTCCAGCACCTTCCTTCCTGGCCATTCTGGCTCAGTTTCTCCTCTTAAATATGAATATAAATGTATCCACCATGAACTTCCACTCCGGGATGCTCCTTGGTGGGAAAGAAAGTGAACTCTGGATAAATGGCCTTATTCTATCCCAGCTCATAAAATGTGGAGATTGGGTAAAATGTTACTTAAGATCCTTTCCAGCTTGAAAAATCCCTGATTCTAAGACGTTCACACCTTGTGTGTGTTTTTCATTGACTTTCCTGAAAGATTAGTGACTAAGTGATGGATGAGAGACTCTGCAGAGCAACACAAAATATTGAGTTCTGGAAATCAACTTCGAGGTTCTTGTCAATCTCATTCTAACTAAAGGGCATTAGGCAAATCATTTCCTCTCTCTGGAATTAGGTTTCCTCATTTGGCAAAGAAAAATAATGATAACAACATTTTAAAAGATTGTTTGGAAAGAAAAATAGTGGAGATGAAAAATGCTTTGTCAAGTATAACTTGAGCAAGGTTAATAACTGCTCATTGTCCTAATTAAGTGCTGCATTACTATATGAAGGAGTCCCAAACCTGGCATTAACCAGGTATATCCTATTTAGACAGGAATGAAACTTACTTCTCTCACAGGTTCAGGTAACATCCTGTGAGTCATTTTACTCATACAAGCTGAAGAAAAATGTTAGTAAGAATTTAAGGCAAGATTTTCGGCTAAGTCTTAAGAACCTGATATCTTTGACCAGTAAAGCTGTGTTCCTAGATGAGGGTCAGTGTTCCCATCACCTTTCTTTTTTTCCATTGTGACATCACATAAAGGAGAATGAAGTTAACATTACGTCACATTAGTACGTCATACTCTCTTGTTAATTTTGCTCTCGTGACGAAGAGCAGGAGCCGTGAGATTGAACAGAATGACTGCTTTTGTCACCTCAGTCAAGTTAACAAACCTCTAATTCTTCATGGCCTTCTTAAAAAAGTGAATATGATGACACTTGCCTCAGAGTACGTGAGAAAACCTGAAAAGTGTGTTTGAGGGATGTGGCACAGTGCCTGACACATAGAAAGCACCCAGCAAATGTTTACCTTCTTCTTTCTTTTGTAGAACTCACATTCTCAGGCTATCAATATTGGCAGGCCTGCATTAGTGAGTCTATCTTTCATACTGCATTAGTGAGTTTCTCTACTGGATGAAACTCCATTCAATCAAACGCATGCTAATGTCTCTTTCTCTTAAGGTGCTTACCCCTTTGAAGTGGTACCAGAGCATAAGGCAGCCGGTATGTACATGTTTTGTTCTTCATTTCCTGAAATATTAGGCATGCATTTCAATTCCCTTATGACGTGAAATATCATGTCTCCTGCACATGGGAAATTTAGTTTGTAAAAGGACAAATATCTATGTGCACAGCTAGAAATTCTTGCAAAGGGAAAAATGAATAACATATTCATGTGGTCATAATGACAAAGAAAACACTGCAACTTCTCCAGTTGGAAGTCATCTGAGCCAATGGTAAACATGACTCTCTGTTTCTCACCAGTACCCTTCCTATGGTTACGAACCCATGGGTGGATGGCTGCACCACCAAATCATCCCCGTGCTGTCCCAGCAGCACCCCCAGACTCACACCCTGCAGCCTCATCACCACATCCCAGTGGTGCCAGCTCAGCAGCCCGTGGCCCCCCAGCAACCAATGATGCCAGTTCCTGGCCACCACTCCATGACTCCAACCCAACACCACCAGCCAACCCCCCCTCCGCCAGCCCACCAGCCCTCCGTTCAGCCGCAGCCTCACCAGCCCATCCAGCCCATCCAGCCCATCCAGCCCCAGACACCTGTGCACCCCATGCAGCCCCTGCCGCCACAGCCACCTCTGCCTCCGATGTTCCCCATGCAGCCCCTGCCACCCATGCTTCCCGACCTGCCTCTGGAAGCTTGGCCAGCAACAGACAAGACCAAGAGGGAGGAAGTGGTAAGTACACCTCAAAGCTGCAACAGTAAAATCCTGTGGCAAGGGTAAAGTGAAATAAGCCCCAGAGCTCTAAGTTCTCAAACCTCTCAGGGGCTTGAGTGGCAGTAACTACAGATGTGTGAGTCTATGTGTTTATGCAGGTGTTTCAACTTTATACTACAAATGAACTTATCTGCATGGCTCGATAATTAAGACCACAGTTTTTGGGGTGGGTTTAAATTGTACAGCTATTGAATTTGTACCAGAATATATATTTGTAAAACCCATGAATCTTAAGGGCCACAGTGGAAGGGAATATCAGTTCTCCTTATACTTCAAAGGTTTAACTGACATGAATAGGCAAGAATTGCACTGAAGATTAAAAAAAAGGTTGGGGGAGAGGGGTAAATTTTAAGAATGAGAGAGTATAGATATTTGAACAAGCTTTAAAAGGTAGGTGGAAAATCTCTTTAAAGATCTAAGGGAGGATTTTCTGTTCACGATGTTTTCCAGTTTAACATAGAGGAGGCCAAACCAGACAGATTAGATTCCTTTACAGTGCTGGGATTCTATAGCTTAGACCTGCAGGAAGAAGTTGCCACAATTTAGCACTAAGTCTTCTTCCATTGGAAGAAACGCTTAAAAATGAATGAGAATAGTCAATGAAATGACTCTTATCCACATCCCTAAACTCACTTCTGTGTATATGAGACGCTATGATTCTACTATGTATATGTATGTACCCAAATGTAATTCCAATTTATAAATGCTAGTGATGATTTGCTATGGAGAAGCAGAGATGGGTGAAACCTAGCTCACCTAGCTCACTTGACCGCCAAAGAGAAGGTGGTTTTGTGCAAATTATTTCAAATTTATAGTTTTTCCCCCCTTCTTTAAAGTGTTGGAAGTGACTTTCAAGCTTCTGTCTAAGTATAAAGACCACAGTTTCCCAATAACAAAATCATAATATATGTTACATGTATTCACAAATTGTGAGCATATTTATGAAAAAAAAAAAACAGAAAAAATTTTTTAAAAACTGATTGACTCACAAATAATCTAGTGCCTATTGTGAATTATTCCAAAGTACATGATCTCTCTTTGAATAGAAAATGCATTTATTTATCTCTTTATTAATATTTAACATGAACTTTGTAGTATGCTCACACCTTGCCAAAGCTATTTATAGAAAGATGATTTGGAGCTGGTAGTTTTAACTCTTTAAAACTCAGTTTCTTGTTCTGTAAAGTTAGAATATAAATAGAGTATAAATATTGATAGTTTGTTAGAGTTCTTTTATAGAAAATAAAATAAAGTTTTGAGCTCAGAGCCTGACAGGCAGGAAACAATCAGAGGTAGCAATGTTGTTTTTTTATTAAATTATAGGCTTTAAGTATCTTCAAGGTAGGCACCTCCATCATGGATGCTTAATAGCTATGACAATAAGATAACAAAGAAGCTTCAGAAATGAGAGTTTAACTTCAATAGTTGTTCATTCTTATACAAAACTAAAGCCATTATATGTTATTATAAATGATATTCACTAGGAATGTTTGTAACTTATCTTAATTGTTCCTTTTGGTATTTTTTTTTCAGGATTAAAAGACCAAAATATGAGAAGAGAACTGAAGTTAATGCTTCAGTTGCTTTCAGGAATGACACAAGAACACAATGATTTGTGCCTACAATCACTTCACTTAGCAAATACTGTAACAAAAAATAAGTACCATTAGCAGACAATAAAATATTTAAAAAAATCACTCATGTCTTTGTGTTAATTAAACTTAACTTTTCCAATCACCTGAGAGAACATATGAATGAATATTCTTGAATAAGATAGGAACTGTTCATTTATACCCACAAATTGACCATTTGTCAGGGAAATAGAACTACCTTTATTTTTAGAGAAAGTTTAAATTATATTACCACAATTGTTTTTGAAATGGAAGTTTATACATCAGTTGTAGTAGTTGATAAGGTGAAAAACTATGAACATGTAGTCACTGAACCTGAACCAAATGAAAGGAAGCTTAGAAGAAAAATGCTTTACATTGAATAAAGCAGACTCTTCAAAAATATTTATATTACAAAGCAAACTATGACTTGGAATGCTAGCTTAATACATCTCAACACATTAGTTATCAAAATATGGTCTTTTGATCTCATTCTAAGGAAAAAAAGACCTTTTAAAGTTAAATTATGTGTTGTATATAATAATGCACTGAACTTAAAATGATTGAAGTAATAGTAATTAGTTTTCCTAAAAAATGGTAGTAATGGAGATTTAAATAGAGAATGACAGTCATTTCTTTCACTTCATAATCTTTAACATGATAAATTTCACATACTCTTCGCAATGGTAGCATGCATAAAATGGGTTTGTAAACAAAGTTTGTTTCCTACTCATATTTATATTTGAACCCTTCTTCCTCCTACACCCACACAGAATTGTAAACAGTCTTTGCAGGGTTTATATTACACAGCACCCACAGTAACTTTATTCCGGTACCTTTACGATTAAGGTCCCTTAATCATTTTCTGGAATGAATAAACATAACTTTACTGGGAGGGTGTTGATATTCAAACAAAAAACTTGATTTTGAAGAATTTAGATTCAATTTAAAAAGTAAGAAAGCTTTTAATCAGTTGGCATGGGCTAATTCTAATCAACTGAGTAAATATTTATTAAGCACCTTCTAGGGTAAGACGCTATTCCATGTGCTAGTAAAAGTAGTAAGTCCCCATCCCTTAAAGAATCTATTATAAAATCTACCAAAGGGATAAAATAAGCTCACAAATAATGATAAGAAAAGGCCAAATAGTATTAATACTATGCAGATGTACAGTTGAAATGCTCTGGTGAATATGGCAAACATCCTTAACTAGCTGCCCAACAGCTTACCTCACCACTCCTTCCTTGTTGGCAGATCTGTAATTAATCCTATTTTCTAGCATCAGGAGAGATGAGCCCCCTCCCCTGCCCCAGGGAGTGAAAGTTCATTCTTTCATGTCAACTATGGCATCAGTTTTACCATAACTTAATTCCCCTTGCCAGTGACTAGTTTAGGGATGAGTTACAGTGAAACCTGAAGACTGAACGAGGCCAAGGAGGAAATCTCCTGGGAAAAGAACTTCTGAGGAAATATTTTCCTCTAATTAAAAAATATAAAGATACACGCTAGGGAAAAAGTACTGTTCTGTCTTTGGACCTGCTTGTTTAGGATGTGATGCCTGGAGCTGTACCCACCATCTTGTGCCCAGGAAGGCCAAGTACAAAACTAGGAAGTTCCTACTTTCTTTTTTTTTTTTCTCTTTTTGGAGAGGTTTTTGTTATAGGGCACATGAGCTTGCCAGAAAGACAGAAAGACAGGAAGCGAGAAATCACCCCCCACGGGGGTGGCCACGTCACAATCCCTTCTCCTCCATTCTCCTCTTGGGATCTTGGGTACGCACACACACGCGCCCAGCGTGAGTTTAAGCCACTGGGTCTGGGATTCAAACCGTGGTCACCTACGTGGGAGTCCAGCGACATAGCCATTATGCTAACTGCTGGTCCCAAGTCCCTGCTTTCTTGATGGCATCATTATACCCATGAATTGACCTCCTCTGGAACCATCTTCCTCCAGATGGATGACATACTCTAATTCTATGCTAGTGCTTTTTTACTTTTTATTGTCAGAGGGTATAGCATGCTCGCCAGAGAGAGAGATGAAAAAGTACCCTCAATGGGTAGTGGTCATGCCACAATCCCTTCTCCTCCATTTCTCCATCCTTTCAGAATTTGGGGCACACGCAAACACAGATATGGTGTATTTTTCAAGCTGTTGGACCTAGGATTCAAACCATGGTTAGCCATATACTATCTAGCTTCCTTAACCACAAGGCCATGGCACAAGCCCTACACTAGTGATTTTCAACTGTGGGTCCTAATTGATTTCTGGAACAGGACATCAAAACGAACAAAACACCCTGCCGTTTTTGTCATACCAGTAAACAGATACAGTGATATAGAGCTTATTTAGACAAGGCTAAGGAGAATTATTTTGTCAATGACTTGCCTGAACAAAATTTGCTAGAAGATGATAGATAAAATATAGATAAATAATAAATAAGTAGATGGTACATGACAGATAGGTAGACAAAAGTAAACACACATAGAGAAAGATATAGAGACACAGTACAGATCCTGGTACATGCTTCAAAATATATGGGCCTGGCCTTTGTCTTCCAAAGGTCATGAAAATACTGTCACTACATTTATTTCTACTGAGAAGCACTTTAAGGGCACTAGGGATGCTATTATTTGAAGACTGTGATATTGGAAATAGTACAAACTGGAGTAAGACTGGGAATGCTTTTGGATTTTCTGATGTGAGAGGATTTTCTATTTGGGAAAGTCATTGACAAAGTAATTCTCATTATCTTTCAACATCTCTCTCTCTCTCTCTCTGTCTCTCCCCCGCCCCCATACACACACACATGCAGAATCATACCTTCAAGTTAGATTTTGAATTACAGGGAAAAAAAATCAGACTTTGGACCCTAAAGACTTAGTAATTATAGACTGATATGTACTGCATAAGTTAATTTTAGAAAACACTGAAATGTGTCTATTAAATGCCAAAAATATACTTTTAAAATAATAATTTCATGGCAGTTTTCTACAGTGGACATCGTTCTACCACATTAAACAATGTGCTTTAATCACAACATAGTATCTTCTTGATAATTCTGAATGAGACCTAGGAACATCCATTAGCAAGGTCTGCTATCTTAAAAGTCAGAGGAACTAGGGTTCTTATGCCTGTTTTAAATCCTTCTGTACTGGTCTCTCATTCTAACTATTCTTTTCTGCCGCTGGCCGTCATTTTTTCTGTTAATATATATTTATATCTTCCAACATGTAGCTTATTTTATATACATAATCTCCCTAACAAATGAAGTGCATTGTTTTTGAGATGGCTATTCTGGAAGTTCCACAGTCACGGGGAGGCTATGCTATTTCCTGAATCCCCATCTGCAGCTGATGACTGCAACTGACAAAATTCTGACATGTGTGTGGCTGTTACCACAGAGTGAAACATAAGGTGATGTAAACTAAACAAAACAGAGTCTTTTAAATTTATTAAAACCCAGGCTTAGTCAACTGCACAATACTGTATGCACTTGAATTAAATATGAAAGAAAATCACTAGATGTTAATGACCAATTCTTAAAGTCCAGGCAGAAATAAATAACAGTACTAATCATAAATGCACTAATAAACCCAAACTTAAATTTACAGAATACTAAAATCAGTAAAATAGCTCATGTAGATTATTTACAACACTATGCTATCTTTGAAATTAAGCTAAAGAGGAACAACTGAAAAACACAGTAGTAAACCGCCTCAAGGAAATCCTTATTTCACTATAACCACTCCCACATCACTAATATATTTGAAATCTGTTCTGCTTTCATACCCTCTTTGTTGCTGAGAGTTTCAATATATATATATATTTTTTCCAGAGTGTAAATATATGTCTAGGAATTACCCTGATAGTCATCAAAATGCACAAGAAGAGATACGTGCAAAAAATGTTGACTACAGCACAACCCATATCAGTAAGAAATTGGACCTTCTTTAAATGTTCCTATATCTATCTGAAGGAATACTATGATAAAAAATATTCTTGAAAGAAAATTTATTAGTGAAGAAAACATGATAAAATTTAAGACCAAGACTGTATATCATATGTGAATGCAATATACGACTATAACATGCAAATAATTTATACACACATATACATATATTAACATGCACAGAAAAAAGCTAGGGAGATTATATCTATCTGAAGAAATAATTTATCAATAATAAACATGAGCTAATTCTGTAATCATAAATAAATTTATTTTTTGTAGTCCTCTATCCTTTTTTTTTCTTCAGTTTAGAACACCTTCTTCCTTTTGTTTCCTCTTGGATCTTAGTGTGTCCCCCTCAGGTAAATTCCCAGTATGGTTCACATGAGGTTGATTTTTTTGAAAGTTTTTTTTTCTTTATTCATGACAGAGCATGTGTTTCAGGCAGATTGGGCCAGGTATTCTAACCATGGTCACCATGTGGGTTCCAGTTTCTCTTGAGCAGTGTACCACCACTGTGCCACAAAATAAGCCCCATAACCACCTATCTTGATAACATACATAGAGAATGGAGGTTAAAGAACTGCCTGGAAATAATCTTCACTTATTAAAGAGAAATAGATGCTACATTCTCTAAATCAAAATTCATATCTGTAGGGTGACAATACAATGAAATATTTCAAAATAGAGAGGTATATTAACTGGTAATTCTACTCTACACCTGCATTTTCCAATATGGTTGTTCTGCATGGCTATCTAAATGTAAATAAGTAACAGAGATGGACAGTGACACAGCAGTAAAGTGTGACACTCTGTGAGGCTGATGCACAATGGGAAGCTTCCAGGTTCCCATCTGGAGACCTCCCTGAGTGTGCTGGTCATCAATGTACTCATGACCCAAAGCTAGCTGGAGCTAGGGGGATGGACTGGACATCAGAACTCTGTTGGGGATGCTGTTTCTCTCTCTCTCTTTCTCTCTTGCTCATGGAAGAAATAAATAAACTTAAAAAAAATAAATTTAAATAAATTTAAA